TATTTTTCTATTAGATTATGTATTGTAGTCGTTAGGTGATTGTAATATGGATTTCAATTTTCAATGTTGTAATTCATTTTTTTTTTTTTTTGGTGACGCTATATTTTAATTCAGAAGCTTAACATAAGGTTTGATAGGATTTCGATGGATTAATATTATATATTAAACAAAATAGATAATTTATGCATGTTTTTAGGGATAAATTAGAAATTTTTACATATTTAGGGTTTTCACTGCACGATTTTGCACATTTTGAGTTTTTTGCTGCACGTTTTTCAGATTTTTATTGCACGAAGATCCGGTCTCTATTTATAACCTTAAATACATTTACTGAAGTTAAATTATTCTAAATCTAATAATATATTCAAATAGTTAGGTATACATCATCGATTTATTCCACAGAAATTTCTTTTTGTGAAATCACAACGTTATACACTTACGATTAGTGTGACGATTTTTGACCTATTGCTGCTGCATTCAAAAGCAAGTAACTGTATTTTGGTTAATTTTCCAAAAGTAAAAAATAAGAATTTAAATACATATAGAAAGTGATAGAGATTTAATTCCTATAATTTTTACTATGTAGTATGACCATACTTATTCATAATTTTCATTTTCACTTTGCAATCCCTCTTTGTTATAGAGCTTAGAGACTGGAATAATATGATGCAAATATACTGATAGTGTTATTAGGTTTTTATTGCCTACATTCAATACAAATAGGATTTGTGTTACTTTGATGATCTTAACAAGTTTTTGCGTTGATGGATTTGACCAAAATTAAAGCTTAAGTTCTTTAAGAGAAGGAGTTAGTCGAGGGTGCGGTCAAATAAATAAAAAATTAAAATATATTAATTATTTTAATTTTTGCCGACATTTCGACCCACTTTGCAGGTCGTAGGATGTGGCACTGCGGGAGGCAGTTGAAACACTCAACTGCCTCAAGGCAGTGTTTCAACTGCCTCCCGCAGTGCCACATCCTACACCCTGAAGACGACCTGCAAAGTGGGTCGAAACGTCGGCAAAAATTAAAATAATTAATATATTTTAATTTTTTATTTATTTGACCGCACCCTCGACTAACTCCTTCTCATATTATATCAACGGTCAACCATCTCTACATCATTAAGTTCTTTAAGATTTAGATCCATTAAAATGCGCTTCAAAAATGTTTGCAATAACCCAATTGAAGAAGAACATTAAGTAAAAGTTGTGTGATGAGAGCACCAGATTTTTTTTTTTTTTTACAACACTGTACATAATAGCTGCTGGAAAGATTCTTCAAGACCCTGGAGATAACAACATCACTGAGACACTTCCAAAGTATCCTGCTTGTCCTGGAATTTATTCCTTTGAAAGGGAAGGAGTTATTTCAGTTTGCTTCATAAGGCTGATTGGTTGGTTCCTCTATTTAGCATATGCCTTTACTAATTCCTCCAGTTCACTAATTGTTGATCAATGTACCTTCAAGTCAACAAGGTTCAGGCCATTGTAAGTTCTTTTGCAGGAGGAAATTGAAATTTAACAACAATATGCACTATAATGGTCATGTCTGGGGATCAGTCTAAAAAAGAAATTAGCATCAAATAATATTAACTATTTTTAATGATTCATAGTAAAATTTTAACTTCTTTATTTTTTATATATTTATTAACTACACAGTTAACACTTTAACAATGGTGGATTTATATATTAGTCGAGAGGAAATCTGGTGCATCAGTGGACTCATATACGAGTCGAGACGGAATTGGAACCAGGCGACTATAGTCTCATTTATGTGTCGAGACGGAATCAGGATCAGATGTTAACCTCATGTTACGTATAGAAGCTTGTTTTAATCTTTCGGGTTAGTCGGCTCATATTCATTTGGTGCCTCAATTACAACTATTCTCCATTACGATCTCTAATTTCTCCTTTAGTTAATTATCAAATTCTTTCATATTTTATATTTAACTATCTTTTATATTAGAGATTAATGTGAAATAGTCAATTGTTTCAAATAAAAAAAATTAAAGGTACTTTAGGGGAAGTTAATGTTGAAAATGAGCCATTTAAGTCCTGTTAGAGAACATCGATCAGAAGAAAAACTACATTTTATTAAAAACTGCTTAATTTTACATGGATATAATGAATTTAATCAAAATCGTTAAGAGCCATTCTCCAGAAAATCATAAAAATGTGTTTAATCCATGATATCCACACACACACACACACACACATACACACCATTTTGCGGGACTTGGTTATTTGGACTCAGGGGACCTCAAAACGTGTATTTCCGTTGAAAACTGAGATTAGAAAATTTTGATGATTGCAATACTTATTGTATTGCCTACCTTTTTAGCTAAATATTTCATATATAAGTAAGTGAGAGTAAAAACAAAATAAAAAAGTTAGGAAGGATGCTCTAAATAAAAAAGCTGAAGTGGTGAGTAGAAGTAATGAAAAGTATTTAGTCACAGGGGGACAGAGAGCTGTCGGCTAATACTGTTCTCAAAAGGCTACTCCTACTCCTCCCTTCTTGCTCATAGTAACTAAAAGGTAAATTCACCCTAGAAAGAAGTATTGAAAGATTTAAGAGAAAAATCATCTGCAAGATAAAATGGAGTGATCTAGAATCAGAGTACAAATATATGGAGGAGAAGGACCAATTAAGAACTACCTACAATGTCTAAAGTGAACATGAAAAAAAAAAAGTTATATACAAAATTATTTTTAAAATAATATTCTCTTTATCTTTAGTGGGAGAAATTCTATGCCCCTTCACTGGATCCGTCAATAGGACACTGCATATAAACCTGTATATATTTGCATGATTATAAAGGATCTGCATACAGATGATTCTACAAAGAATTGTGCAATAATGATATGATAAAACACAATATTAAAACTCAAGTTCCAAGAATTACAAAAGATAAAAGAAAAGAGAGGGTATACATTAGAAGTTTGAAATAGGAGAAAGTAACATTTTTAAACCAAGACAGGAAGAGGCACCATTGAATCGTATCTAATTATCAAATGAAAAGTAAAAAAACTGAAGACTCAACATATTTTCTTATAAATAATTAATTTTGACATTAATAACTGCTTTACATAAATCGCGAATATTAACCAACAATTAATACGTACTTTAATAAAATAAAAGATTTTCCAACTTTTGTGTATCCATAGTAATCTTACTGATGCAAACTAACAAACACAACCTAACTGATAACAAATACACCTTTGAAAAAACTCACAAACATACTATCTTACTAAAAGTCAATTTTAGACTTGAGCTGGTTTCATTACAACAAAAAAAATTAAAAAAAAAAGACAACAGGAACAAACAAATAATTCATTTAATAAACAAGAAAACACTTTTTAAACAATTCCATTGCCTCGATTCATTGGATTATAAATACTTTTTACAAAATTAAAAATTAACATTTAGTCAGGGAATTTCATTTTGTTTCCCCAGAAACATTTGTTTTTTTATTTTATATATAATAATTTTCAGAAATTATTTTTTCTAAAATTCTTAGCTTTCCAACAATCCAAAAAGATTATATACGTACGCATTCTGACGATTATTTTCGGAAATTCATTTCCTTCCTAAAAAACCTTATTTTTTCTTTTTTTCTCTTTTAATCAATTATCAAATTCTTCCATAGTTTATATTGAGCTTTTTTCCATTACTACTATGAATGAAAGACGGTTAAATATTTAAAATAAACAAAATTAAAGGTTCTTTAAAGCAAGAAAATTTAACTTTGTGCATTTAAGCCCTGCTATGTGACATTATTTTGGATATGATCTAAATGATATTAAAGACCATTTAATTGTACATCGATATAGTGAGTTTAAACAAAATCTCCCCAACTGACTTAAATAGGTAATTTCAGTTTCGTGCAGTTTTTAGTTTTTAAGCTAGACTGTTCACACAACAAGACTTGGTTATTTAGGCTCAGAGGAGCTCAAAACATCTATTTCGATTTACAACTCAGATTTGAAAATATATTACATATATAAGCAAGTGAAAGTAAAATAAAAGTGAATTTAATGGGAAATTTTCAACAAACATATTGTATAATTTGTTTTAAAACCTTGAGTTAAAATGAAATAGTATTTTTAAATACAACTATGATATTGGAAAGTAATTAAATAATTATTATTTTAAACACTAATATCATGAAATGCATTTCACTAATTATAAAATAAATATTGGGTACACAAATAACATTTAGAATTATCATAACGTTTAAAAGGAGTGATTTAAAAATCTATTGGAAAATCAACGTCAACTCTACAACAATGATCAATCAAAACTTACACAATTGTTTAAATATAATCCTCTTCACTTTTAAGATTACAATAACATGAAGAATATAAAATCAAAACCAATTAATGTTATGATGCATACCATATGATAACTGATGTAAAACTTAAAAGAATAAAAAAAGAAATAATGAAATGTAAACTAATACATAGATCATGCATTGCTTTAACTACAAAAATATATCTATGTTCCTTGAAAATTGGAAAAACCTAAATTTAATGGGAAACTTAGCATAAATCTTCTATTACTAGAATTTAAAGATAATTTATACCACAACTATTCATAATTATAATGATACTAATTATAATAACATCCATTTGTCAATAACCAACCTTTCAGCTAATTATAAATAACTAGAATATATTTTAAATAAATATAATAGTTTGAAAATGTGACCACTAAATATTGTATTTTAAAGGTACATAAAATCCTTGATAGTTGAAGAAAAATGAAAAATGAAATATATAATTAAAAAATTATTATGGATTGAGTTACATAATCAGTAACATTATGATATGTATATAGATAAATAAACAAAAAAAGATTGACTATTATTACCAGAGTTCCGTTTATTAAACAATGTTAATTTAATATTTTGTTCCAAAATGCTTAAATACAGATAAAAGTATTAAGAAAACAAAGTAATAAATATACAAAATGAAAAAATCTATAACAGTTTTACCTAAAACAAAGATGTTGTTTGCGAAACCAGCGACAAGAATGATGAATAAAGATATCGAATTCATTTTGCATTAATGACAATGCAAATTATTAAATTTATTTTGAAAAAACAATGCAAATATTGTTACGAGTTTACATGTTGAACAGTTTGTTATTGATTACCTACCTCCTAGACAGCAGCTGATCGTGCTTGAGCTTGACGTTGGAAGCGCTGAGGTAGCTTCTGTGTTGCTCGATCAATGATTGTTATAGTGATTAAAAAAATGTGATTATTTTATTTTTTAAGTGATTGTTCTCAAAATTAGTGAGTGTCAGTGATATGGGGAAGGACCAAGAACTATTGGAAGCTGCTAGAAGCGGAAACATTCTTGTTGTTGACAAAATATTGGGTCAAAGAGCTAAAAGGAGTGGCCCATTAGCCAGGTAACTGATAAAAGATAAAGAAATATTTGAATTTTTTCAAAATGTTTTTTGATATCTAAATGTATTTTTTTTAAAAATTATTCCAAGTTTTTATGATGGAATATGTTAATCCTCTCTTTAGATCCAAACCAATTGACTTGTTGATCAGTTATTGTTTATTTATTTCATAGTTGTGTAGTGTTAGGTTCAGATGTTGATTATTATATTATATTTAATTACATCTTTCTTTAATTATTTTGGCTCCTTGAATTAGAATTGTCAGTTAATAAGTATTTTTTTATAAGTTAAATTCATTTGTTAACATGTATCAAATCTTTGTTGGACCCATGAAAAAGTTAGTTTTGATCCCGTTTAGTGAATTTTCTGTAAAATGTTTAAAGATTAGCCTAAATATTGAAAAGATCTGCTTTGATTTGAGTCATGTATAAGGGAGTGCGGTCTATTATTGTTTATTACTCTTAATAGACAATATAAATATTGAAATAAAATTATTCTTAATCTTCAGTTTAAAAACATTGAAGTTTTAAAGATTTCTTTCTTTCTTGGAAAATCTGTAACAGTTGTTGCAGTTTTTAGTTATTCAATTATTTATCTTGTTAACATGTACATTTTAGTCTTCTAATTGCTAGCTTCTATCCAATACATAGCTTATTTTTAATGTTTGTTTTTTGTATGTTTTAAAAATTGGGAATGATCATGTTTACATTAATGTATTCTATTATGTCTGATATACCGTAAGATGGGCTAACTTTGGCACAGCGGGTAAAATTTAGCTTGTGGTGATTCTGTGGTGGATACACTGTGTTTGATCAGTCTACAAAAATGTGCTTTGTGTAGAGGCATGTACTGCGCTACTACCTTACAACACACTACTCTTGAAGCACAAGAAAAATTTTCATGAAAACTTAAAAAAAAAAAATTTGTAAAAAGCAATGGCAATAAATAAAATCCAACTACACAACGAGTGTTGTGAATTAGGGTTCTCTAACTGCCGCAAGGTAGTATCGCAGTACATGCCTGCACAAAGCACGTTTTTACAGAATGAACCAACACAGTATATCCACAACAGAATCACAACAAACTAAATTTTATCCACTGTCCCAAAGTTACTCCATCTTACAGTATTTACATTTATTGATTCTAAGCCGAACTTCTGTGAACGAGCTAGAAAACATCTTGTTTTTGTTAGGAGTAATGTATTAAAGCTGACAGAAGTTGTATTGAATAAAAATAATATTGTTAATGTTTTTTGCGTATTATGTATATTTTCTGTTAATGTATAAAAACAATATCAGTAATATTATAGTACTGTCATGTCTAGTTGATGTGTGTGCTAGGATCACTTCGTTCTCACTGTTGGCTCTCACTGGAGAGGGATGAAATATTTAGGTCATACTACATGCCAAGTGTCATATTCAAGAAACATCTTAACATATTATTTTCATTCTACAATTAAGTGCCATACAATATTTAAGTCTCAAATTTTTTTTATTTTAATGAAATTTACAACTGTATTACATGGAAAATACAACAAGTAAATGTGACATTGGTAACATGACATGTACAACATGAAGAGAAACTACCCATTGGTAGAACTCAACTTAAAGTTCTATATCAGGAGGTCCCGAGGCCATCTTCTTTTCAGACGCCTCGCAGGGTTATCAGGGATCGATGAGGAAGCAAGTTTTGAAACGAGAGGAATCGGATGGTTCTGCAGTTTGTTATGGAAGGATAGGTATCTGGATTGGACCAAATCGGAAACATATGGAACATTAACCTCTTTATGGATGATTTTATTTGTTACAAAGTAAGGAGTGTTGAGGATTTTATGAAGGATTTTGGATTGTAAGGATTGGATACTAGAGGAATTCGATGGTTTAGTGGAGCTCCAAAGCTCAATTCCGTAAGTCCTAATAGGTCTTATTATTGTCATATATATGAGTCGTTTGTAATTGATTGAAAGCATAGAGCGTTTGTCTAGTGAGTGCTGCAGTAGTCGAAAATTTCGGGCGGTTTCTAGTCGTTTCAGTCTGGTATGGGGGTTCCAAGTGAGTCGTTTGTCAAGGTGGAGTCCTAAGTATCAGATTTGTTTGACAGGGATAAGAGGGCTATTGTTGAAGGATACTGTAGGACAGGAAGTCATAGGTTTACAATGAAGTGTGAAGGTAATTTGATGGGATTTATTGGAATTTATTTTAATCCTCCAGTTTTGATACCATTTTTCAAGACTTGTGATGTGTGATTGAAGAGTTTGGGATGCAATAGATGGATCGTTATTAACTGATAGGATACACATGTCATCGGCATAGGTGGTGATGACAATGTTGGATTGGGTTGGGATGTCAGCTGTATAAACTGTGTAAAGGATAGGACCTAGGATACTACTTTGAGGTCTAAAATTTAAAATGATTATAGCAAGTGGCACTTAATTAACTTAAATGAATGTCAGTAACTTAAAATTTTCATTGTATGAAAGAAAATATGCTGTGTATTTATCAATATGTTTTAGATATTTTATTTTTCACCGTAGTATACTGGTTCGGAAGGAAACTAATTTGTCTTAAATAACATTTAGTGGCGTGAAAAAGTCTTGGAACAAACCAAATTTTTATTAAATGATATATGTAATTGTAAACTGACTTAACCTTGCAGACATTATAAACGTAATATATATATTTCAATTGGCATTATTTTCTATTAATAAGCCAAGGGACCTATCCGTTGTGTTGACGTTTTGACCAATCCTCTGAATAATGGTGCCTTATTGTTTAAATATTACTACTTTGTTGTCCTTTTCAATCTTTGTTTTTTTTTGTTGATGCCAAGAGCTCTTGTGTAAAATCTAAAAAGCTGATTGTATTTGAGAAAAAATTTCTAATATTGAAATTCTGCACTTCTTTTTTTTGTAATTTAATTTAACATTCCAAACAACATTAATACATTTGGTGACATTAATTTAATATTTCTTTTTTTTTCTGTCTAGTGTTACTTTTATTTAAGAAAAATAGAGTAAAATATCATATTTTTTATAGTTATCTCTCTGAAAAATAAAGTTTTGCCCAATCAGCTTAAGCCCCGATATTACTACTTTGTTATAGTTTTCAATCTTTACTTTATATTGTTAATGTCAAGAGCCGTTGTGTAAACTCTAGAAACCTGAGTGTATCTGAAAATTTATTTCTAATATTGGAATTCTTCGCTTTTTTTTTGGTAATTTAATTTAACATTTAACATTTTTTTTCTGTTTAATGTTACATTTATTAAAAAAAAAAAAAAAAAAAATATGGCAAAATATCTCCTTTTTTATCGTTATCTCTCTGAAAAATAAAGTTTTGCCCAATCAGCTTAAGCCCAGACAGTATCGTATGATATGTAAGAATGCTACAGTACCGTTTTACATCCATTTTTTCTATCTATTCACAAGAGGTCTCCAACTCCAGATCTAGTCTCACAGCCCCAAACCATTAAGGAGCCACCTCCTTGTTTTTATTTTGGTTGCAAAAATTCATCTGAAAATTCCACTCTAGGTTTTCACTTATATACTGTCTCCTTCTGGAACTAAACATTTCAACTTTTGACTCATCTCGTCATAAAATGTCCAATTTTTGTGTTCTGTGGCAAACTTAAGCCACTTATGCTTGTTCAGAGATCGAAAAAAAATAGTTTGCTTCTGGCAACACAACCGTTAAGACCAAATGATAGGAGTTTGCTTCTGATCAAGGAGGATAAAACTTGGGTCCTTCTAGCATCGGCTATTTCTTGAGCCAGATATTATCTTTATATGTTCCTCCATTATATTCTATCAAGTGTTCTGCATCAAAATATCATAATTTTATTAGTACATTGGTCTGCTTAAATTCATCAATAAATAGTTCATACTAACTTTTTTTGCTGGAACAGTCTTGTTTTGTGATTTAATTGAAAGTTATACAATTCATATTGTGATTTTATTTGAAATTCGTAAACAGATTATTTATTTTTAATGAAAATATATTTTTCATTTTCGATCTATTTTGATGGTTTTATTTTAATAAAGTATTATATTTTAATCATATATTATTACCAAAACTTGAAGTTATTTTAAATTACTAAGTAATGCTGATTTAAAATTATAAATTGAGGTAAATGGTTTAGTAATTTCATTAATATTCAATCCAGTGGTGTACATAGAGTGAGCAAACCGGATAGTTACTTCGAGGCCCACAACAGGGGCATTTATTTTAATTGAATGGTGACTTTATTGCAAAGTAATAACATACATAATAACATTTTTTACAAAATACAAAATATATAATCCATATTACATTTTTAGAGCACGAGGTCTTTGTGATATTCCCACGAAGTATATTTCATTTTATATCATAAATACAGTAACTATGAAATACAATTTTTACTAATTACATTTTTCAATTTTATTTTCACTGTCTCAATTCTTTAAATAAAGATTGAACGTACAAGCTATAATGAATAATATAACAAAAAATAAATATTATATGTATATATAGTTCAGATGGTTACACAACGCTGAATTGCATGAACTGTATCCGGGTAATATAATTGAGGTAATTTCATCGCGGCGAATCAAATGGGCTTGTAAAGTTGTTGGGTTTAGTAACGAGAGAATTCCTAAAAGGTTAATATTTGCTGTGCCGAATGGTAAGCGTCCGAGGGGTAGACCGAAGCAAAGGTGGGAAGATTGCATTAAAGCCGATCTGGAGGGACTGGATTTGGACGGCGAACGGTGGAGGGAGGTGTGT